CACGTCTGCTGCTGCTGCTCTGGCCGGCGCCAAGCCCCACGGGAGCATGCGCTAAATCTTGCGCCAAACGAGCCCGCGGACGAATTAGATAAGCGCTTCTTCGCATTGCCAGAACGTCGTGATTGCAGGGATTTCGAGAAAACCTAGGAAGTCTCATAACAACTCCAGGTGACGTGAGGCAGCACGCACTGCATTTGTTCTCCTGACTTCTGGAGATTATATCTGAAGTTTACACAATTTTCTACCAGCTAGCAGCCCTGCAGAGGATAACGGTAGCGCAACGGGATAATTATGCAGGAGGCTGGGTCAAAAGCTGTGACTGGGTTGCGCTGGACGGACGTAATTAAGAAGCAAGTAATTGGTTGCCGTAATACAACCGAGCACGCCATGCACAAGATGCCTGGCAGCCACATTTTTAGATTTGTTCCTTTTAATTGAGATACAAGTTCCCTACTAGTCGTAAGTGAAAATTGCCGGCCGATGACAGTGTCTCTCAGAGCGGATTGAGAGGCAAAAACAACGAATGGAGAGGAGGGAAAAGCACGGCCTCCCTCCCGCGCCAGCAATCGCCCCTGGCCGTGCCAAGTCAACAGACACCAAGGCCCGAGCACACTGGACACCGCAGACCACAACAGGAAGTTCTACTGAGGGAGGGGAAGCGAAAGGCACACGGTTGGAACTGACCGGACAACAGAAACAAAGACTTCTGCGCATGGGGCAAGGTCATTGCTCGCTTCTCTTTTGAGCCTTTTCAAAGAATTTAAGCGGGGGAGAGATAGCAGCAGAGAATCTTTTTTTTTTTTTTGTTATGCGAATTCTAATGACTTGTGTTTCTACACATCACTGTACATTATCTTCTATCTAGAACTATTCTCTCCATCACTGTACTCTAACTGCTAACGTATTGACTAGGGTAAGAAAGATGATTAGAATTAAGGAAAGCTTATCCGGAACATTTGAGCCAACAAGTGAACCGCGCAGGTTAAGAGACAAATGACTTGTTGGCGATGATCACTCATATTTCATCCAAGCGAATGTAAAACTGCTAGCTATTTCAGTTTAGTTTGTGTAAACAATGAATTACACCAAGTTTTTTACTAAGATTCTCAAAATTTGTAAAGGCTGAAAAGCTCTTCTTTTAGAAGTAACAATATATCTGAGCAATGAACAAACAAATTAGTGACTTAGGATTATACAGATCAGTTAATCCACGAGCAATATGGCCATGAAAATCCATCAAAAAATATAGCTCTTTCAAGATCCCGCAAGGCTTAAAGGTCAGTAGTAAGTAAGGAGAAAGTAAATACTCACCCGAGCATATGTTCGAGCTCTCCGCTGGAAGTGCCGCTGTCCGAGGCGCACTTGTGCTGCTCGAAGTCTGAAACGGTTTCAATTTGAGAGTGGAAACGAGGAAACGCAGGCTCCCCTCGACTGTCAACAAGAAGTGCTGGTCGAAAATTTCCGAAAATGGAGAGCGATGGCCACCCCGCCAGCTAATTGCCATGCGAGTCCATCGCGCAGCAGCGCGACGATACTTTGTGGGACTCGTACGGCCTAAATGTGGAAGAGGATCGTCCTCGAATTTGACTCCATTCGCCGCCATCCACAAAACGAAGCAGCGACGAAGGTATGCGAGCGAAAGAACGAGGAAAGCCAAGGGGAGATCGCGAACATTGGGCTTCAGCACGAAAACTGCGGTTGCGTGCTGCGATACCAGTTTCGACTAGCGGTTGATCCGCCTACTAGCCGACAACGCACAGCAGGGACCGGCTTTTACCCTTAACAACTCTCCTCCTTCTCTCTCTTTCGCACCCTGTCCAAGCATCGAACACGGCACTACAAGTGTTCGGGGCGAAATCCCCCTCACAGTTGCCTCGATCAAGAGAGGTGATGATAGATGTCGTCTCTAAGACGCTTATGCGAGCCCTCCTTACTGCCTCCTGCTGTGCCCCCTTCAGCTCGCCATTGCCATCAGTGGTCATTCTGACGGGTAGCCAATTAGCATCCACTCGAAATCTGCGCGCAGGAGCTTAGACTCCTCTCATTTGCTTGCAATGGCAACGTCCTAGCTTTTGCACATACAAAACAATTTTTGTAAATTAAAGAATGTTAATCAAATATTTCTTTCGCTATGCTCCGCCTCACATATGCATCGCTTCCTTTCCCACACGAAATTTCGCGCACGAAATTGCAAATGAAATCTGCAAATATTCCGCGTAAATACCATTTCCAAATCAATCAAAAAGAATCTACGCAAGATCTTTCCATGTGCATTTTAAACACAGAAGATACAAACATTTTTTGCAAACTTCGCCTCCGCTCTCCACCTTTGGAAATCTTCGAATAAATTTTACTTTAAATAAAAGCTCATACTTTCAAAGTCCAAATCCATCTACCAATTCATTACATCACCTCTCGCCAACCCATAACTTAGTGAAGGAAACGTAAACCTACGATTTTCGTCTAGTCGAAATTGCGAATAGAGCTGATAGGCGAGATTGTCGATCGCTTCGTCAGATCCTGAGTGAAAACCCTCCTCACTGCCTCGACTCGTCGAATACTGAAGGAGACCCGCCATGTTGTGTATTTGAAATTAACGAGATGGTGAACGAGCAACCGTCTGTGGCGGCGGCCGCGAGTGATCTGCAAAAGAAACGAAGTCAGAGAGCGAGAGAAGGAACGGCGCGGATTTCGAAACGTAACGGCGAGTGGTTGGTTGATGCTATCTGAAGGTGAATCAGAAGCAGGAAAGGGGCAGGAACAACGTCGTCAGCAGAGGGCATTTGGATTGCAACAACACGACACGAAGGAGAGAAGCGGGGACGAACGCACGAGAGAGGGGTGACAGATTACTGCGGCCGAAACCCTGTTTCGCGAGTAATGGGACGATAATTGGACATGTCCACATACGCACACACACAAAAGCGGTGTCAAGGCAGTTGGGCAATTCGAAGAGTCAAGCGATATTCGCTCTGCAAATGCCAGACGGGGTAGGACGGGGCGATTGTCGGCGCCACTATGCGAGGTTATCAAATAAGGAGCCATCTGCTGGTCATCCATCGCTAAGACCAGCTCACAAAACACCTGGACCACGACAAACAGATGGTATCGAGAGAGCACGTGCCGTGGTAAGCGCCGAGTTCACCCCTTATTTTGCTGGCCGAGTGTTCGTGCAGTAGATAGGAGCCGTGTCAACCGGTGTCTTGCCATTTCCTAGCGAACAGCACAACAAACACGCATTCACGCTTACGACAGACTCTCAGATCATGCCTGGAGCCCTACTAGGAGTTGCTAAGATGTGGGAGTGCCTCCTAGGGCTTTGCACAAGAAGATTCCTCTTCACACAATATCTAATCTACAACAGTTGCGCAATCATAAGAACCTCTATCAGAACATTATAGCTCGCGAAATTTCAAGTAACATATAATCAACTCTGGAATATTCAAGGGGAAATTTGGTGAAAGAGAATGTATTGATTAGCGACTAAATGCAGAATGTTTACTGCAAGAATTCCTCTGCAAAGTTTGCAACTTAAGAGCCTCATGCAAATAAAAAGAGGACTATTCGTTTTGCTTTTATCCCGCCGGGAGAGGAGATATATTCCTTATTCAAGAATAGATTCTTATTAAAGTCTAAAATCTTTATCCAATTCCACAACTAAGATGTCATCAGATTAAGAAAATTTCTCAAAATGCTTATTGAGTTTCTCAAAAATAAAATGAACATATGAGCCACAGAGTAAATTGACTGGCTTTGATAACGTCTAAAAATGTGCTGCTAATATCGACATTTGACGTCTCGCACGTCACAGGAG